TGGCGCCCGGCCCCGGCGCCGACGAGCCCCCGGCGCGGAGCTGCACGCGCGGACTGTGCTCACGGTGCCTGGGCCTGGCGCGGTGCTCTGTTTCCCGGCCCCTGGCGGCGGCGGTGCCACGCTGCACTCTGCGCTCGTGGCCCTGACCACGTTCCCTGCCTGCAGCTGCCCGCCGCACCCCGGGCCCCGCTGCCCACACCACCCTGTCTGCCTGCCGCCCGGCGGCTCGGCCCGCCTGCGCCTGCTCTGTGCCCTGCGGCGCGCGGCCGGCACCATCTGGGTGGAGCTGGCGCTGGAGGGGGCCGTGGGGACACCCTCCCCGTCGCTGTCGCCGTCGCCGCCAAGCCTCCCCCAGGCCGGGGCGGGGGCGGCGCGGCGGGCCCGGCGGGGCGCTGGCGGCAGCACGACCCCGCAGTTCCCGCTGCCCAGCTACCAGGTGTCGGTGCCCGAGAACGAGCCGGCGGGCACCGCGGTCATCGAGCTGCGCGCGCACGACCCCGACGAGGGCGAGGCGGGGCGCCTGAGCTACCAGATGGAGGCGCTGTTCGACGAGCGCTCCAATGGCTACTTCCTCATCGACACCGACACGGGCGCGGTGAGCACGGCCCGCGCTCTGGACCGCGAAACCAAGGACACGCACGTGCTCAAAGTGAGCGCCGTGGACCACGGCTCGCCACGGCGCTCAGCTGCCACCTACCTCACTGTCACAGTCAGCGACACCAACGACCACAGTCCGGTCTTCGAGCAGTCCGAGTACCGCGAGCGCGTGCGTGAGAACCTTGAGGTGGGCTACGAGGTGCTGACCATCCGTGCCACCGACGGCGACGCGCCCTCCAACGCCAACATGCGCTACCGCCTGCTGGAGGGCGCGGGCGGCGTCTTCGAGATCGACGCGCGCTCGGGCGTGGTGCGCACGCGGGCAGCGGTGGACCGGGAGGAGGCGGCCTCATACCAGCTGCTGGTGGAGGCCAACGACCAGGGCCGCAACCCGGGCCCGCTCAGCGCCACGGCCACAGTGCACATCGTGGTGGAGGACGAGAATGACAACTACCCCCAGTTCAGCGAGAAGCGCTATGTGGTCCAGGTGCCCGAGGACGTGGCGGTCAACACGCCTGTGCTGCGCGTGCAGGCCACGGATCGAGACCAGGGCCAGAACGCAGCCATCCACTACAGCATCGTCAGCGGGAACCTGAAGGGGCAGTTCTACCTGCACTCGCTGAGCGGGAGCCTGGATGTGATCAACCCGCTGGACTTCGAGACCATTCGGGAGTACACGCTGCGCATCAAGGCGCAGGACGGGGGCCGGCCTCCGCTCATCAATTCCTCGGGGCTGGTCTCGGTGCAGGTGCTGGACGTCAATGACAATGCCCCCATCTTTGTGAGCAGCCCCTTCCAGGCGGCCGTGCTGGAGAACGTGCCTCTGGGCCACTCCGTTCTGCACATCCAGGCGGTGGACGCCGATGCAGGTGAGAACGCGCGTCTGCGCTATCGCCTGGTGGACACGGCCTCGGCCTCCGTGGGGGGCGGCGGTGCTGGGCCCCAGGACCCTGCCTCGGCCTCGGCCTTCCCGTTCCAGATCCACAACAGCTCTGGCTGGATCACGGTGTGCGCCGAGCTGGACCGCGAGGAGGTGGAGCATTACAGCTTCGGGGTGGAGGCGGTGGACCACGGCTCGCCGCCCATGAGCTCCTCGGCCAGCGTGTCCATCACGGTGCTGGACGTAAACGACAACGACCCCATGTTCACGCAGCCCGTGTACGAGCTTCGTCTGAACGAGGACGCGGCCGTGGGGAGCAGCGTGCTGACCCTGCGGGCGCGCGACCGGGACGCCAACAGCGTGATCACCTACCAGCTCACCGGCGGCAACACCCGGAACCGCTTCGCCCTCAGCAGCCAGAGCGGCGGCGGCCTCATCACCCTGGCGCTGCCGCTGGACTACAAGCAGGAGCGGCAGTACGTGCTGGCGGTGACCGCGTCCGACGGCACGCGCTCGCACACCGCACAGGTCTTCATCAATGTCACCGATGCCAACACGCACCGGCCGGTCTTCCAGAGCTCCCACTATACGGTGAGCGTCAGCGAAGACCGGCCCGTGGGCACCTCCATTGCCACCATCAGCGCCACCGACGAGGACACGGGCGAGAACGCACGCATCACCTACGTGCTGGAGGACCCCGTGCCGCAGTTCCGCATCGACCCGGACACCGGCACCATCTACACCATGACTGAGCTGGACTATGAGGACCAGGCTGCCTACACACTGGGCATCACAGCTCGGGACAATGGCATCCCTCAGAAGTCCGACACCACCTCCCTGGAGATTCTTATCCTCGATGCCAATGACAACGCGCCCCGGTTTCTGCGGGATTTCTACCAGGGTTCGGTCTTTGAGGATGCTCCCCCGTCAACCAGTGTTCTCCAGGTCTCTGCCACTGATCGGGACTCGGGCCCCAACGGCCGCCTGCTGTACACCTTCCAGGGAGGGGACGATGGCGATGGGGACTTCTACATCGAGCCCACGTCTGGCGTCATCCGCACCCAGCGCCGGCTGGACCGAGAGAACGTGGCTGTGTACAACCTTCGGGCTCTGGCTGTGGATCGGGGCAGCCCAGCACCCCTTAGTGCCTCAGTGGAAATCCAGGTGACAGTCTTGGACATTAATGACAACCCCCCAGTGTTTGAGAGGGACGAGCTGGAGCTGTTTGTGGAGGAGAACAGCCCGGTGGGGTCCGTGGTGGCAAGGATTCGTGCCAATGACCCCGACGAAGGCCCCAATGCCCAGATCATGTATCAGATCGTGGAAGGCAATGTGCCCGAGGTCTTCCAGCTGGACCTGCTGAGCGGGGACCTGCGTGCCCTGGTGGAGCTGGACTTTGAGGTCCGGCGGGAGTATGTGCTGGTGGTGCAGGCCACGTCGGCCCCGCTGGTGAGCCGGGCCACGGTGCACATCCGCCTCCTGGACCAGAACGACAACCCGCCAGTGCTGCCAGACTTCCAGATCCTCTTCAACAACTATGTCACCAATAAGTCCAACAGCTTCCCCACCGGGGTGATTGGCCGCATCCCGGCCCACGACCCTGACCTCTCCGACAGCCTCAACTACACCTTCCTGCAGGGCAACGAGCTGCAGCTGCTGCTGTTGGACCCTGCTACGGGCGAGCTGCAGCTCAGCCGTGACCTTGACAACAACCGGCCGCTGGAGGCGCTCATGGAGGTGTCTGTTTCTGGTGAGTGGCCGTCGGGGTTCCTGCTGGGCTGCCTGGAGAGCCGCTGGGACCTGCCAGGGGCCTGCCCGGCGTGCTGGGGCGTATTCGGGTAGGGCCTGGGCAACTCTTTGTGGATTTGTGGCCTCCGGTTGGATGGTGGATGCTGGGGGCGTGCTCCCGACCCAGGCAAGGGAGTGGGAGGGGCATGGCCCTGCTTCCCTCAGCATTTTTGCTGGGAGCAGGACTGGGCTTCTTCAAGTTCAAGACCAGGGCTTCTGGGCGCTTTCCTCAGCAGGCCGTGGCTCCTGAGAGGTGCAGTTAAGACCTGGTCTCCGGGGTTGTCTGAGTTGTCTGGTTTGCTTGGTGATGCTCTGCAGTCAGCCACACGCCTGTCTGGGAAGATCAAAGGTCACTGCCCGCCCCATGTGCCAATTAGTTCCTGGGTGGGACCGTTGGAAATTGCCGGATGGGTCTCTGAGTCACCCTGTAATAGGGTTGGAGTTAGTTCCCTTGGTGTCTCTTTTCTGTCTCCTCCAGATAATAACAATCGGGCAATGTGTACTCGTCTGTGTGGGAGCTCTTTGAAAAGCACGGCCTCGTTTGATCTTGGTTTCTGCTCCTGGACACGGGCTTCTAATTTGGGTGTTACTTAGAGGCCTGCCCAGGTTGGTGGTGGAGCCCGTGTGGGAACCCTACTGGCTTGTTCTGGGGCAGGAGGTGAGCGGAAGATGGAGGGCGTCTCCGCTCAGCCAGCCAGACGTGGGCAGGGAAGCGTTGCTGCTGACCCCCGTGGGCCAGGCGAGGCCTGGGGGGTCCTGTGGGGTCTGGGAGAGGGGGACGAGTAGAGGCTATGGGAACCTCGATACACTGTCGAGAGAGCAGGATTTGGTGGGGGGTTGGGAAACAATTGTGGGACCCCCGGCGGCTACTCGAGGGGCCTGCCTTTGGACCTCATCGGCTGGTGTGGACAGGTGACCTTAATTATGAGATTGAACTATCGCCAAGAAAGGCTCAGATCTAAACTGTCACCAGGAAAGGCTCGGATCTGCGGGTTGAGTCGATGTTTCAGATGAGTTGTGACAGTAAATTATTACGATACAGTATCGCCATGGGAGCCCTGGGAGAATGAAGAAGTTAATTTCCTGATGTGTTTTGTTTCCACGGCTGGTGTAATCCTTCATAGACTAAGGGTCGGGTGGCAAATAGGGTCTAGTTCCAGTTGTTGGCTTATGAGATTTGGGACCTATGGGTCCCCTTTCGAGGTGATGCAATACTTCAGCATCGATTTTGGCAGCGTGGACCGCCTGCAGGTGAATATTTTAGGTGAGGTCGCGAAGGTGTGTTAACCAGGGTCATGGATATTCTGAGCAATCACACAAGGGAAAAAAAAGTCTCTTTCCTCAATTTCCGTTTGCATTTTTAAATTTTTCTTCCCGTGCTGCTTATCTGCTAGATAAAGCAGAGTGGAACGTTGAGCCTGTATAAAAACGACTTGGCAAGATCATAGGGTTTTGACTTTACAGGGAACGTGGTGCTTTAGCGGGAATGGGGGCATGCTGGGAGCAGGGATGTTTTGTGTCTGGAGCATCAGGAATGTGGGCCCCCTGTGTTGGCCGGAAAACAGGGTTTAGGATGGATTTCATTCAAAACAGGTTATTACTGAGGGCCGTCTCGCCTACCTGGTGGGCCCACAGCCGGGCCCACAGGCGAAGGTTTGTTTCGGGCTCCACACTACGTAGTAATATGTCTCAGGGATCCAGTTCTGGGCTCTGAATCCTATGCAACACACCCTCGTGTATATCAGGCCTTGGGGCCTCATGTGTCCACCCCGCTAGATAATAATGATTACCTTTTAGTGGGTTCCGACTGGATATCAAGCAGTTTTCTAAACTCTTGTATCTGTGCTGTCACTTATGCCTCTGGTAACTGGGAGGTGAGTGGTGATACACTGCTGCCCATTTTACAGATAAAGAAACTGAGGCCCAGAAGTGTTAAGTAACTTTCTCAGTGTTACACAGCCAGCGAGCAGGAGCGCCAGGCATCAAACTATGATTGAGATGAAACAAGCCCACGCTTCACACTCCCCTCTCTTACCCAAGAGGAAATTTTTGAGGAATTAGTTGATAAGCTGAATTGTTCTGGTGCCGAATCCTTGCTCTGGTTTAAAGTGGGACCTCGGGACGCTGCACAACCCTCAGACCATTTGACTACTCCTTAATGCTCCCAAGAAGCAAATTACCATGAACTATAAAATCTGTTATTCCGAACAGGAAAACTCTGTGTAGAAACAACAAAAAGATCAGCCCTTGAATTAACCAGAGTCAGGTTCTTAGGTTTTATTAGGGAACAATGGGGAAGGCTATTGTTTCATAGGCCTTTTCAGTGAACTATTATTGGCTTCCCCTCATTTACAGCCATGCCCTAAAGCCTCTGATGCATTATTCCCGCTCTGGGGGTGCAGTAGGGAATAGCCCAGGCGGGGAAGGGCTGTGTGCCTCCCGCACAGGGGCCCGCTGGGAAGGTGCACCTGGGGGTGGGGCCTGAGGTGGACGTGCTGTGAGGAGGGCAGTTTTAGTACAGGCGTTTTAGACTAAGAGTAGAGAGCATTCGTGGTTTTATGTAGCCTACCAAGGACAAAACGCTACTTGAAAACTTTTTGAATTCTGAATATGATCACATTCAAATAGCCGCCATTTGGGGGATGATATCCAGCGATACAAGATGTTCATTTTTTATGCGACGGTTTTTGAGTGAGATTTAAAATTCTACATAGGGACTTTTTAGCAGGAGCATTTATTCAAGCTGTGTTTGCATTTTCCAAAGCAGTGTGGTTAATAACCTAATGGGACTCTCAGGCATGGAACGAATACTTTCTGTGGTCTTTCTAGATGCTGATCTTTTAGTAACATTGACATTTTTAATCCAGCTTGAACATGCGTGTGCCTGAGGGTTTACAGCCTTAAGCCATACGTCAAAGAACACAGCATCTGGTAGAAAATGGCCCTCCGTTGGGGGCCTGTGGATGTGGGAAGAGTAGCATTTGTGGATAAAAATGATTGGTCGATGAGTCACTCAGATGTGTCAGAAAACACTAAAACTTGGTGAAATCACGAGATCAAGTAACCTTGACGTTTCCTTTGGTGGGGAGTACATGGTATACAGTCGTCTAGGCTTGATAAAGTTTTAGAAAGTATTTGCCTGGTTAAATAGAGGATATCATAGGGACTTTTAGACCGATGATTGCAAACAAGGAAATAAGGAGGCAGCCATTGTACCAGGCAGCCTTGCACACATGGTGTTATATTTTTTCTGAATCTCACGGTGTAGAAAGGGTGGGACTGGCTTAAACCACTGGATTCTCCAGCGACACGAACTGCCCGGAGAGTTAGGTACTTTGGGCTGCTAGTTAACCATCGAGGGCTTCAGCAGTTCTGGAGATAGTCATCTGCTAACATACTGTCAGAAACACTGGCTTACAAATAAAGGACTGTTTATTCACTTATTGAGCACCTACTGTGTGCCAGGCTTACTATGTGAGGCCCTGGAGAGCTGGTCTGGCCCTGTCCTCCTGGAGTTTGGCTGGGGACAGATAATTGGATAAACAGGGAACTGAATTCAAGGGGAGGGAGGTACAGGAGAGGGCGGCGTGGGGACTCCCGGCACCGGCACCGACGTGATTGTGAAGCGCCTTCCTGGCAGGGGGATGGGCGTGGAGGAGTCCCCCACCTGGAGAGGCCCGACTGAAGGGCTGGGGAGGCGGTTAGGGGAGGTTTTGGGCTGGGTGCTGGGCGGCGTCTGCGCTGCTGATGGGAACAGCGCTCTAGGTAGGAGCTGGAGGGTGGAAGAGAGTGCCGCTCCGGCGGCCCAGGTCGGTGTGGCCATGGAGCGTGGGTGGACGGAGGGAGAGTTTGCAAGGTTAGATGGTCAGATTAGGAGGCGATGACAGGGTTGATCAGCAGCCGTGCTCCGCGTGCTGGGAACTCCCTCCAGGCACTCCCTGCCCGAGCACAGCGCACTCTCCTGCAGCGGCCTCGTGACGTGGAAGGTTCCAGCATCGCTTCCATCTCGGCAGGGAGCAAGCCAGGGCCCCAGAGGCTGGACAGCCCATCCAGCGCACCCGGCTTGTGGTGGCAGCCCCGGGATTTGAACCCTGGACGGTGGCTCCCGAGCCGTGTTCTCTGAGGTGTACTTTCCAGAAGCATGGCTTCTGGCTTCCAGAGCATGAGGACGAGGATGAGGGAGGCGTGTTCACGGAGCCGAGGGCCTTGTAGAGGGTTCAGCTTTGGGGGAAGATCATGAGACCCCTTTGGACCCCGTGCTGCTGGAACACCTTTGACGTTATCACGAAGATGGTTGGACGTGCAGGTCTGGGTGAGAGAGACCAGCTGGGGTCACGGTCAGAAGTGGTCAGCATGGCCGCAGGGGTCACAGAGAGGACGGTCACAGCTGCGGTAGTGAGGGCACTAAGGCAGAGAATGTTTGTGATGGGGACGGGACTCAGTGCAGTCTTGAGGAGCCTTGGCCCGAGTGGCCTGTCTGGTGGGGATGGGCCTGCGTGAGGGCTGGAGCAGGGATAACCACCTGCAAGAGAAGAACCCAAGGGCCTGGGGCCCCAGGGGCTGAGGGAGAGTGAGGCTCCCCAAGGAGGTCACCAGCAGCAGTCGGGGAGCCTGAGGACAGAGATGTGACTGGGGTTAGCCAAGGGGAGGCTGGGGCTTCCCTCAGGAGTGGAGGACAGGGTCTCTGGAGGTGAGTGAAGCTCAGAAGGAAGGTGTGATGGCCGTGGGGACGTGGGGGTCTCTGGTAACTCGGGTTGGGTTGAGGGTGGAGGGGACTTGACCCGTTGACGTGCATGACCATCCTGGCCCGTCCTCGACTCTGCCTGCCTGTGTGTGGCACAGGCAGAGACTGGGGGACAAGCCCCAGTGGCAGTCGAGTGCCTGCTGTGGCCCACCTGAGTGTAGCCGGGGCTGCCGGGAGGGGGAGGGGACCGTAACTTCTGCTTCTTTTTGAGTTACAGG